ATTATATTAATTATAAAAACTTTATAAGTTAGAAAAATAAATTAATTAAAAAAATAATTATAACCAAGTAATAGCTGGTATTAATAACCAATTAATTCATGTCATGATCACTATATTATTGAACTGGATTGTTTCATTCTGTTTAGAAAAATCATCCTGTAATGAATTTAGATGTATCTTATTTTAACAATGTACTTCTAATCTTATTTTACTAATGAGGAAATTGATGCCCATTTCAGTTTAATAACTAGTTCAAGAGAATGCAAATCCTGGCAATAGCAGTTCCCGGATTTCAACTCTGTATGGCTTAACACTTGTACAATGAACCAATATAATCCGTGACCAGTGGCTATCACTGGACCTTGGAGAGCTCCCTTCTTGAGAAAATATGAGGAAGGCAATTTGGGATTCCATGTAGAGTTTCCAATCTGACATTTGGAGCTACCTGCAAGGTGGCAGACATTCATAGAATAACAGAGAGCTCAATGTCACTATAGTGTCTGTGACAGAGGTTTCATGATAAATATTACAGATGGTAAAAAGAGAAGAGACATTCAATTTGTACATAGTGTACATTGGCTGACCTTTAAAAACTGTAAAATATTTATTATGAGAATCTTAGTGGAGTTGTAGGCAGCACTGCTGCCTTAGGTTTTATGGTAGAGAGAAGATGAAAATTCCCAGGTCACTTGTCATGATTCATTTATTTCAAAGGTTGAGTAAAGTGTTCCTCCACCTTGTATATATGTGTGTGTGTGTGTGTGTCCACAATGTTCCTCCCTACTTGACGTTTGCCACTCAGTCCTAAGATCCTCAGTCCAAGAAGAATCTTCGTCTCACTTCTCAATTTCTTTCAGTCTGAGTCACTTCATCCCACAGATTTGGACTCTGAGAATCCTCCAATGTCGCCCCCACAGCCCCCCACTGCTGTTGAAGCACTCCCTCCTCGTAGCACCCTGCATGGGATTGGTGAGATTGTGACTCTTCATAGAAGAGAAAGCTTCATCTTTCTCCACAGAGATGCTGTGGGTTTAACCCACAGCACCAATTAGACTCCTTAATATTGCTGTATTGTTTCATAAGCTAGCCTCATACACATCTCAATAGCTTTCTAACAAGGTTCCCTAAAGTCTATCCTTGATGTACTTTACACTGTTTACCAGATTGAATTTTTGAGTATTGTTCCTTCATTTGTAGACAATTGATATGGCTCTTTAGTCATCACTTCATAAGTGATGTGTTATAATTCTAGACCTCATGGCTTTGGCTATATCCTCTTTTGGAGGGCATTCTCTACTATGCTAATGGACAGTATGAGGATGGGATTAAGACTGACTTTAGAGGAAGAAGTGAGCAAAGTCATACCCTTTGTGTCCTGAGGACATCTTTAAGATTGCATGACTAGAAGGTGTGGCTTTCGACCCCGCCCTCTGTTTCCCTGGGATGATGTATAAATGCTGGGGCAACTGCAGTTCTGCCATGCTACCTGAAAAGCCACAGTTCTATTTCCTGTGTGGGCCTCGAAGAAGCAAGAAGACCTGTAACTTTGGACATTCTTGGCCTTTGGCTCTGACTGCATTTTTGGCTTTGTTCTGTGTGACTTTAGGATTTGGGACTGAACAGAAAACAACCTGTGAGACACGTCCTTAAAACTTTGTGAGTTTCTGTGGGACATTGTATGAAATCCAGGGATGTAGTGGAATATTCTCAAGGAGGAGTAAGGGGGTGGGATGGGGGCAGAATAATAGGTTAGAAAAGTTGGACATTTGGTACATTAATCTCTAATTGCTTGGGAATAATCTGAATTATTTCCTGTAAAACAAATTATCACCATACTCCTTTCACAAATTTGTAATCTTGGGGCTTAGAAAAGGAACTTAATATTCAGTCTACTTTAATTTTCCTTAGTGGCTAGGGGTTTAACAGAGTAGCACTTAGCCCCTTCGTCACTAGGATTTTCTGCTGCATAGAACTGCACAATTGGATTTCCAAGGCTGAAAATTTCTACAGAACAAACAGCTACATTGTTCATTTGTGGAACATTTGATGACTTCCAATGACTGACCCATCAGTTATCAGATGAATGCTTAAGCAATGTGCCACCAGGGCTCCTCTCCTTTCACTAAAGGGACAACAACTCATGAATTCCTATCCAATTGAGTTTCTGCCCCTATGAGGAGTTCTGTGGGTCATACATTGTGGGTCATACATTGAATACTAACTGAAAAGTAAGTTGTTAGAATCCACCAGTCGTTGTGCAAGAGAAAGGTAAAACTGTTTTCTCCCATAAAGATCAAAATCTCAGAGACACAAAGTAGCAATCCTACTCTCTAGGAGCACACTCTGTTGGAATTGGCTCACTGGCAGTGGGTTTGGTTGTGTGATATGCCACAAGACAAATGGGTAGGAACCAACTATTATTTTAAGCCCCATCATCACCCACCCTTCCTCTAGGTGACATTTAGAGATGATACAGATCCTTTTGAACATCACAAGTTCAATGAGCACTACTGGAACCCAGTGAGTATGACCATAAACAAAAATCAAACAAACCCTGCTATTGAATAGGAACCAACCAATGTGGAGTATTTTGCAAATCACAAATGATCTGTTTAGCCTAAAATGCCAATCATTTAGAAGATGAGAAACTCTTTCCTCATAAAATATCAGTTAGGTCTTAAAGGAATTGAAAATGGAAAAATATTAGGAAGAAATATATGATTTTCTTCTCATTATCTTTCAGGCTGCAGTATAATTAAAAGTGTTTTAAAGGATAGTCTAAAATGGTCCATTAGAATAAAGACATGGTTTTCTATTTATTATTCAGGTGGTTGCTTACTGGAGTTCTGTCTGAGCTTTCATTTTCTGAGTAAGTGCAGACATGCCCCATGTGTGCTGTCACTCACGTGTTCTCCAGGCACACACGTGACTCCAATGCTGCAACACAGAGTGCAAGCATTGCACATCCGGCAGCACTTCCCTCACTGTTATGCATAGGGTCTTTACGACTTGTAACCTGAGGAGAACATTCAATTTAGCAAAATGTTATTCCAATAAAGTCATCTAGGTTGTTTACCAATGTATAGATGATATACTATTGGAAAGATGATAAGTCCTCAGGTAGATATCATATAATGCACAAATACTACTATTTGAGGAACTGAAAAGGAAAAATGAGAGAAGTTTCCCTCAGAATCTGAACACATTAATTAAAAGTTTTGGCAAGGAATTTGGGTAGAAATACATTTATCTATAACAGTCATAAATCTTAGCTATTTTTAGTAGAATAATGGGGTACTAATATCGGTATTGATTGCACTATCATGTAAGCATTAAATTGCTAACTGGAATGTTTTCTGTCAAACCTATGAACCACCCTGAGTGAGAAAAGTCAGACTGTCTGCTCCTGTAAATATTTACAACTTCAGAAACCCTATAAAGGTCCAAGAGCTGGATTTGATTCTATGGGACTGCACTTTGCATTCAATGTTAGTATCAGATGCTAGTAAAATAATCTAAACTGTCTAAATGTCTTAAAGTAAGTCAAGATAGTTAACACGCATTTATTAGATGGTGCTGTGGGTGAAACAGTGGACAGCTAACCAAAATGTCAGTGGTCCGAGCCCACTGACCAGCCTCTCTGTGACAGAAAGAGAGAGGCAATATGCTCCTGTAAACATTTACAGTATATATTTCTGAGAGCTTTATGCAATAAGGGAAAGGTTATAAAAAACAAAACACATCTTATTGCCATCAACATCAAGCCAGCTCATAGCGACCCTAGAGAGCAGTAGAAATGCCTCTGTAGGTTCCCCAAGGCTAACTTTTCATGGGAGTAGAAGCCCCGTCTTTTTCCTGTGCAGCCACTGCTGGTTCAAACTGCTGAACATCAGCAGCCCAAGGAAACGAAGATGAGCACATTATCTAAAGATTATAAAAGAAAGAAAGAAAACAACTTCAGTTACTCTTCTCTTCTGATTTTGATTCCATTGAATGTTTTATCACCATTATGAGTTCTTTATATATTGCCTAAGTTTATTGTAATTCTTAAAGCATATTGACTCTGCATAAAATTACTTATCCCAGTTCTAATTGGTAGGTGTTATAGATTGAAATTTTGATTCCCCAAAGAATATGTCAACTTTGCAAAGTCAGAGCTCTCAGTATTATATTACTAACTTCCATTTTTTTGACCTGATGCAAATATCCTGTGTTCTAAATCTTAACTTCTATCATATTAATAAGGCAGTATTAGAGGTAGTTTTGTTAATCAGGTGGGATATAATGGTTAAGATTAAGTTGTATCTCCACTCAGTCTCTTATGAGAAATAAAAGAGACCAAACAATGAGCAGATAATGAGGGAACTCAACACCTCAAGAAAGAAGATAAATCTTGGGACTTGTGTTGAGAACCTCCTAGATCCCAGAGAACATTGATGTCAAGACACAAGTAGATTCCCAAGGAATGTTAGCCCCACAGACGTTGAAAGCAGACAAAGATATTTCCTCAAAGCCAACAGAGAGAGGAAGACTTTACCTTTGAGCTGATACACTGAGTTAGGTATTCTGAATTTTGAAAGAATAAATTTATATTTGTTAGAGCAATAATTTCACAATATTTCTGCAATAGCAGTTCTAGATAGCTAAGATAGTGGATATAAAAGTATAAGTGATGATTAAGGGACATGAGATGAATAGCATCTGTCTGGACAGTTATTATGGGCAGAAAAGAGCCATCAAATAGATTTTATTTTGTTCATTAAAAGTTAATAAAGAAACAATAGGAACCCTGACTTGTGGGTGCTCAGTGACATTTTGGAAAGAAAATAGCAAACTAGAAGTATCTTTGGGGTTTAAGAGATAATACACTCACAACCTAACTGAAACATTTGTGTCTAAAATAAATTAATCTCTTTTATTTTTTAACACTTTTCAAATCTTCACAGGGATTAGCGAATGAAACAGCAATATCAAGACTTGATTCTACTGACCAAATTACCATGTTCACAATCAATGGCTCAGTCTTCATGCCCCCTGTACTAACACTAATTGGAATCCCTGGCCTGGAGTCAGTACAGTGTTGGATTGGGATTCCATTTTCTGTCATGTACATCATTGCTGTGGTTGGGAATTCCATCATCATAGCTTTAATCAAATGTGAAAGCAGCCTCCATAAACCCATGTACATATTCTTGGCTATGTTGGGGGCCACCGATGTGGTCCTTAGCACTTGTATTCTTCCCACAATGCTAGGCATTTTCTGGTTTCATTTGCCAGAAATTTATTTTGAAGCCTGTCTTCTGCAAATGTGGTTTATTCATTCATTTCAGGCCATTGAATCCGGTGTCCTACTTGCAATGGCCCTGGACCGTTACGTGGCCATTTGTGACCCATTGAGACATTCCACCATCTTCTCACAACAGCTACTGACTCAAATAGGAGTTGGGGTGGCACTCAGGGCTGTCGTTCTTATAGTGCCATGCATAGTGCTCATCAAATGTCGTCTTACACTGTACAAAACTACAATTATCTCTCACTCTTACTGTGAGCATATGGCCCTTGTGAAGCTTGCTGTGGAAGATATTCGAGTCAATAAGATGTATGGCTTATTTGTTGCCTTCAGCATCCTAGGCTTTGACATCATCTTCATCACCTTATCCTACGTTCAGATCTTCATCACTGTCTTTCAACTGCCCCAGAAGGAGGCAAGACTCAAAGCCTTCAATACATGCATTGCCCACATTTGTGTCTTCCTTCAGTTCTACCTTCTTGCGTTCTTTTCTTTCTTCACGCATCGGTTTGGTTCTCACATACCACCTTATGTTCACATTCTTTTGTCAAACCTTTACCTGTTAGTCCCACCATTTCTCAACCCTATAGTGTATGGGATGAAGACAAAAGAAATTCGTGACCATGTCCTGAAAATGTTTTCCTCGAAAAGCACTTCTGGATAACCAGTATGCCTGTATGAAAAGTACTTTTTTTCTAAGTAATAATCAAAATATATAGAAAAAGTATATCTTCCACAACTATGCACTTTTGGGGGAAAATGATTTGAACTAAATATCAGCTGCCTGTCATTCAAGAAGACATTCAAGAAAACATCATATATCCAAAGCTCTTGGTTGTATAACCAAATCATGAATAGAGTCTTCTAGGATACAATTCACTACGATATTGTTCTAATTTTGGTTTATCCCTATGTACCAGGAGTTACTTATCACTTAGCTCTGTATTGAAGAGAAAACTGTAGAACACATAATGTAGAAGTAAAGCATTTAGTCGAAAATAGAAATAAGTTGAGTATTTATAATTTCATTTTATTAATTTATTGAAAATATTTAATAAAAATATCTCAATTACTGCAGCAATGTTTTCTAATTTTTTTCATGTATAATAACATAAACCTAAGTAAAAATAAGATTTATAAAGGTAATATTCATATAACAAATTCCAGGTGAATAAAATAATCATTGCTGTTATTCGAAACTAGTAGTTACTGAATAGTGCAAACAATTAAGCACTGAATACTTTTTTTTAAAAAGGAAATTGAAACCCATCCAGAAGCACCCCAGAACAAAGGAATGGAAATGTACTTCTGAAAGCCACAAACTTGAAAACCCTCTGGGACATGGTTTCACTCTCACCCGCAGGGGTTTACCATGAGTTAGACTTGGTTCAAAGACTACTGGTGGTTGATTTTAGTATCAGAAAGCATATAAGTTTACTATTATTTCGGAAACTCCAGATTCTCCTAAGATAATTACTACATTATTTCCTTGAATTTCACCATGTAACCTTTCATCACTAAACAGTAGATTTGTCGGTTTATGAATTTATATAATTGGTTCCATGCAACTTAAGTTTATTTGTTTTCTTTCTAGCTCATTATATTAGTGATGTAAATTTATTCATTGATAATAATTAATCATGTATCATTGTATAAATATACATTTAATATGTATATAATCAACCACCTTTTGATTGTTTACTTTATGAGTTGCTCTCTAACAGTCTCTACAATTATGTGGACATACTGTCTTCATATCATTAGTATCCTGACTTGAGAAAATAAACTGCATACTATCATTAAATTTATGTGACTTAGTTAGCTTTATGCTGTTATATCCATATAACTAAATAGTATTAAAAACGGTTACCAGCATTCCATACCATATGATTATCTTACATAATGATGTCAGGACATCACTAAGACTCAGAGTGATTGATTGCATGAGTGTCAGAATAGAAAAATATTATATAGAGTTTTCAATAACTGACTTTTAAAATTAATTTCTGAGAATTCTGGTGAACTCTAATCTTTTGGATACCAGTTGAGTGTGTTACCAATTTTCACCACTCAGATGCTAATTTTGTCAGTAATATCAACATCATCACAAGTACACTCTTAATAATGTGAAAAAGCAAACCATAAACTAGGAAATCAGGCATAAGGCAAATATCAGGCAAATGACATGACATGAAATTAAATTTTGTATATATTTATATACTGGTAATTGTATATACTCATCTACATATTTCATATTTACATACACTATAGGTATTTATATAGGTGTTTAATATATATATTTTATGCTAATATCCAAATTTACTACATATAAAATTATATGTATATATTTAAAAACTCAATAAAAAAGAAAAATTAAAAATAAAGCTCATTGTTATTGCATCAAAGCAAGCTCATTTATTTCATGTAGAAGTGAGTGATTTCTATGTTATAATTTTTAAAGCTGCACGTCACAAGATTTTTTTCTCCCATAGAGTGACAGATGTGCTTAAATTGCTAATTTTATGGTTTCTTTTCTGCGTGTAAATCATTTTTATCATCCAGCGACCTTCACATTTCATCAACCCAGTGAAAATGAGCAAAATCAGACATTTTATAAAAGATTAATTACTAAGAAACCCAATGACAAGAATAAATACAACTATATTTTGGTGAATGAAACAATCTGAACACCTCGTACATATTTTATGACTCCATTTATGTGATGTTTTAGAATAGGAAAATCTCATCTCTAGCAGAGGAAATGTGGGTTTTCCGTTAGAGAGTGATAAGTAGCACTTATGGAAACAGACCCGAAGGGAAAACTTCCTGGAGTAATGCAAGTGTTCTGTATCTTAGGAGAATTGTTGGTGACATAGTTGTAATGCATATCAAAATAGAAGCTCAAGATGTACACATTTCACTGCTATAAATAATTCCTCAGAATCAAGGCAGTACATACCAATTTGGAATCCCAGATATTATATTTGCTTTTCACAATTATGTTAGTTAGCATCTGGGACCTGGCTAGTTACTACTAAGTTAGCCGCAAAGTATTTCTTTGTTGGCATCAGTTCATGATTGTTGATGTCTGAGCCCATTGTTCACCTAGGTTTTTCAATAACCTCATTAAAAGTTTTCCTTAAGAAAATGATGAGGTTTGACAACACAGCAACAATTTCAATAACGCTCATTCACTACAGCAAACTTATGTATGCAGAGTGAAGCCATGTAACAAAAAACAGGGAAAATAGGAAATGCATGTTGGTTTAAAGTTGTCAATTATTGGGTGAGGTCATTTATTGTGCCAACCTAGACAATAAACACACGTGGGGTTAATTGAAGGACGGAGGGATAAATGGCTTGGTGAGCCTCACCTTTCTAGTTCTTAGGTCTCTTGCTTTCTGATGGTCAGACCAGGGAGCAGCTGTCTGAGCCATTTCCCTGCTTCAGCTTGCAAGGCTCACTTCCTGCAAGACATCCCCAAGGAGAAGCCGCATACACCTACCCTGATGAAGCCCTGGGTACCACATGCACCTACCCTGATGCAGCCCTGGGTGCCAGCACTGAGATGCTTACCCATTCACTGATTCAGCTTTCCTCTGGCAGTCAGCATCATAGTGTGTGTTTTGTGAGATGGAGGAGGACTTTGTGGATTGGTGTCGGAGGTAGGGGTTACTGTTGCACTTGTGGGTTTGGGCAGCACTGGGTTGGGACGTTTTCTTAATGTGCACTTAACCTTTATATAAAACTCCATCTTATATAAATGAGTTGCTGTGGATTTGTTTCCTTAAAGTTCCCAGACTAACTCATTGGGCAAGCTCAAAAACAACAGATTTGAACCAAAATAAAATGACTTCAGAATTCATTACCTTGAGAAACCTGTCATCTGCTTCTTCTTAACCTAGGCTGATTCCGCTTTACGTCCAAAGTAATCATTCAGTCCCTTTAATCTGGAACACATATGGTTAATGTAACATCCAGTTTACTTAATGGGGTTTCCAAATGGAATACTTCTGATGTGACCTATGAAAAATGGTATACTCTTAGAAAAGCCAAGATCTCAATTCCAAGTGGCCTATAGTATGAGGCTTAGGTTGAAAAGGTTGGAATATAAATTCTGTCAAAAATGCATCATCAACTTTCTACTATAAAATGGATCCTCCCATTGGCCATCTATGTGAGGGATGTTAAGTTGTTTCTTTCCCCAGGGTGGCTGGCCTTTCCTACTTTACCCAACCACAGAAATGAAATCGCCTTCTCTGAGATAGACAAATCCCTCCCACGGTGGGTTCAGTCACTTAAGTTTCTAATATGTATAACTGATCAGTCTATGTATTTTAGTCTAAAAATCTCTTATATATATTTATGTAATATTTATATATTTATAAGCTCTCGTATATATTATTTATATAAAGGAATATATATATTCCTTTCTCACTAGTATTTAAAATTCTGTACCATTGGCTAGATTAATGATATTATTATTAGAATTATCAAATGCGTTAGGGAGATTACTTATAATATTTCTGAGGAATTTGGAAACATTGCCTTTAGAGTGGACCAGGAATAAATGTCAGCCTTCGATTTACATATGAATTTGGAATATGTAACCATAACCCCTACTCCAAGAACAATTCATTCTTATGATGTAGCTCTGCTTAATACTATCCCTCAGAAAGTGCTCATTTAAGATATGGGTGCTATAGGAAATCAGATGGGGCCTGCTTATCAGAAAGAATAGGGTCTATACTTTTAAAGTCTTGTCTTAAAGGAAGCAGCCATCTAAGGCAGCTAAGTTCTATGTCAGCTAAGTTCACACAGAAGGAACACACCAACCAGTGTGATCTACAATTTTTTAATGATAAAATTCAATATCCATTAATTATTCTCAAAATATGGATTTTTGTTTTTTACTTTCATCATAGCCTTCAGAATTTTAATAATAAAATCCACGATCAAAAAGGAGAATTTTATTAGAGCCTAAATTCTGAGTATTCAGCTTTTAGAAATCCATGTAAAGATTTCTTGTGTGTATTAAGTCTCCCTTGAATTCCCTTTGACCAAAGATGTGAGCATTTTGTGCTCCAACAGAACCTGTCACCTTGAAAATCCCAGGGAGGGGAAATCTCCCTTACTGGATTACCTGGGTGTGTTCTTGATGGTTATCCCTACATAGGAGGTGTGTGTCTCTAGAATTCACAAATATGTATATATGGAAAAATTATTTTAATTAAATCTCACATATTTATAATTCAAGAAGGTGTATAATGAATAATTAAGTATGCAACACTCTAAGAGAAATAGCAACTTGTATACATTGTTGAAACATAAAATGATATTACTCTTTAAAAAGCAACATCGTAATTGATTAAACAGATAAAGAAAAACATTTGAATGAGAATATTTCAAAGTATTAAGATAGTCTTTCATATTTTAGTTATCTCTTTAAACTGAGAACATTTTCTGAAGTATCATTTAGCTCTAAGTAGAATAGATCACCGAGGGTGGGGGTGCACTTGATTTTAGGGAATTTCACAGGACCACGTGTGACATCAATGTTCTCAAGCTGCTCAGTGTCTATTATTCTGGTATCTCCCACTCTTCAAGATCTATTTTTGATTTTATAGAGCCCTGGTGAAGTAGTGATTACTCGTTGGGATACTA